TAAACCCACTATAATTCAACTTAAAAACATGAGATGCTCTCCTCTTTCCCTGAAGTGTTCAGCGCATTCCACCTAATAATGAAAAGAGACACACAGTAGACCTGGCCTTAGGCATGAAGAACTTGGTCCTCCATGCAAGGGAATTCTCTCTGTTTCAATTAGTGTAGCAACAGTGGTCTATGTTACATATCAGACACAAGCAAAATTACGAAAACATTAGCAAGATTGTGGTGTCAATGGAAAACCAAGGTCCAGAGAAGATGGTGCATGAAATCATTCTTGTATTAGCACCTTGCACTCTGCCTTTCCACTTCATTTCGTTTTTACTTGTAGAGGAGTTTAACCCAGGATCTTTCAAACTTGTGACCCACGGTTAGAAATACCTTTTATATCATGACCCAAAATAGAGACAGATACAGATGTCAATATGCTTATAACATCCCACTAAATTGATCTCACAACTCATTAATAGGTGGTGACCAGCCTTTGGGAAATAGAGCTTTGCATGTTTTTCAAAGCTCAACTCTGTGATGTTAAGACCCTGTATCTTTTTCCTAATAAGTACTGAGCACTTTCCATGTTTCAGCACTCTCCAAGTATTTTATATACATCATCTCATTTAATACTCGCACAGCTCCTTAACTAAATGTTATCTTATTCACACTTAGGAAATGAGGAAACTGAAGAACAGAGAGGTTAAGGACATACTGAAGGTCACACAGCTGGTGAATGATATTTATCCTTTTTGACTGTCTTTTCTGAGTCAAGAATGTTATTTCTCATTTTTAAAAAGTTTTCACAGCCAGCATTATATCATTGAAACCAATGATTTTAAAAGCTGTCTCAGTTCAAATTGTCTACATATCTGGGAAATAGAGTAAACAGAATATGTAGGCATACAAAAGAAAAAAAAGAATAGAATTATTTTCTCTTCTTCTTCCCCACTTCTCTTACTTAACTTCTTTCTCCTTCTCCTTTTCTTGATTGGCTCTTGAATTCATTGGGTACTTTTTGGTTCACTGTTATATTCACAGACCTAGGCTCCTTGTGGTGGTGATGGAGGGGGTTGGGTACCAAAGAAGAAAAGGGAAGTTAAAGGGCATCAGTATCTTATGTGAAACAGAATGCTAACAATATATTATGACAAGACATGAGACATGGACAAGACCTGCAAGTGGTGTACAGAGAGGGAAAAGAACTTGGTGTGGGCTGGGTGAGGCAGGTGGCTTTGTGGAAGAGCGGGATTTGTGCCCAGTCTTTCTTGATGGATGGGAGGGATAAGTTACCTGGAAGGCAGAACTTTGGGTCCTCCGAAAGAAAAGGTTCAGAGGACGGAGGAAAAGGAGGAGAATGGCCTAGACTGGAGTGAAGAATTCATGCTGGGACGTAGCTGTAGGTGTGGCTGAGTCGGTGGGGTCAGCCACATTATAGAAGGTCTTAGAAGCCTGGTTGAAGAAGTTGGATCTTATTTTCTGGGATTATGGAGCCACTGAAGCATTTTGTGAGCAGGACATTGCTAGCATGGCTGTGCTATTTAAAAAGGCTGATCTGGTACCCACAATGATTTGGAGGGAGAGTCATGGGTTGGGGAGGGCTGGGGAACTACTTAGGAGGATGAAGCACTGGACCAGATATGAGATGATTTAAACCCCAATCCAGTTCCTACAGCACTAGAAAGGACGGCAAATGAGCCATGATGATGGACAGCTGGCATCAGCTCACCTAGAAAAGGTGAAGTGGAGAACAGAGCCAAATATTACTTCAGCATCTCTATCACAGTCAAGTAGTATCACTTTTGGTAGAAACAAAGATTTAGGAAGTTGTGTCTCCTTGGGGGAAGGAGTAGGGGAGTGGAACTAAAGTTTATTTCAGACATGCTGCATTGGAAGGACATCTGGGGAACCAAATGAAAAGATCTGGCGGACAGTTAGGATCTGAGGCTGGTGCTGGGAGAGGTGGGGGCTGGAGATCAGAGCCGAGACCATCTGGATGGCAGGATGCACAGCAGGCCTGAGGAGAAATGAGTCAGGGTGAGACCACCTTTTCCTAAAAGTTGAGGGAAGATGGCTAGCTGCTTCCCTATTCTAGGTACATGTAATTCCATAGATTGTTTATGGTAAACTTCTTGAAAATTGTTTATGTCAAGACTTGAAGAAAACAACAAAAGAATTAATAGGGTTACATAGTAAATGTTGTTCTTTCTGTATCTCTGCCCTTTGAAGGGAAACTTTAATATTTATTATAATTTATTATATTTATTATTATTATAATTATTATAAATTATTATTATTATTAGGTTCCTTGTGGTGATGAAGGGGGTTGGGTATTATTATTATTACATTATTATTATAATAAATAGAGTTTTGTTTATATTATATTATAAATATTATTATTATTGTTGTTATAAATAGAGTTTTGTTTAAACCTCAGACTCAGCTTCCAAATTCAGGCCCCTCGCCATTCACTCCTGCACCACCAACCCCAATGCCTCTTCACCGGGGATTCCCCAGGACAGCGTGGGGATGTGTGACTCACACTTTCGGATGAAGACCACGTGCATCTTTTACAAAATTCATATAAGCAGGTTCTTCAATATAGGCTATATCTCATATGAAGGAAAGCTCTGATTTAAACTTCCAATCCCTGCTCATTAAGCAACTAGCAAACAACACAAAACAACAATAATAAAGCGCATACAGAAACCACATCAAACAAAACCTCTTCTGCCATTCACACCGTGCTACTCAGAGTTCAGTACTGTTTGTCACTGGTTCCCACAAGGTAAGAACAGAGATTGAACGTCAGCGTTAGAAACTTTAATTTGGCGTCATGGCCGTACAGGCAGATCACAGAGATACTGCAGGTTCAGTTCCAGACGACTGCAATAAAGCGTTTGCTTGCTTTCAGTTCTGAGCCCTTAGCAAATGGTGCTACAAGGAGGGTCACCGCCCCTAATGTGCTCTGCTGCCAATGTCTTACTGCTGCGTTGTGGCAGCTATTTGCTGGTACAGTATTTCCTCTCTGCCCTGAGTCCTCCAGTATTGAAAATACTGATAGTACTAGAATATTACCATGTGCCAGACACCGTGGTCGGCACATTTCATACCCTACCTCATTTGCTTGTCAATAACACTATGAGAGAGGTCTGATTATCCCCATCTGAAAGTAAGAAAAGAGAGCTTGGGAGACATTAAAAATTCACCCGGCTATTAATTGTTGGGCAGGGATTTTACCTTAGGTCTGTTTTAATCTATGTGTGCTGGACTGCACTGAACTGCCCCGCGGTGACTGTGCTCGTTCCATGGCTGTGGCGAGAGCTGTTCCTTTTCTCAGAAGGAATAACTTCTGGATGAGTATCACCATCATCATCATCATGAAGATTCTCTCCAAAGGGCAGAAATAGAGATGGAATGACACTTCCTACATGATGCTCTGAGTCACTCTCTGCTGCTGCCACATAGAATTCATGCTTTGATATTTTATGTTCAATATCACATGGGCTACAATAACGACTCTCTCAGAAATTCTGAAAGAACAGTTGCTATAGATACCCACCAAGATGGAGGAGTCACGGAGAGGCTGTCGGGCTCCCCGCGCTCTGAGGTTTTGCCTAAACCTCAGAGGGAGATGGGTGTGCTGAGGGGGAGCCCCAGGGCCCTCTTCCAAATTCAGGTCCTTCATCATCCACACTCACCAGCCCTGCTCCTCCACCACCAACGCATCAGACCTTCACCTAGGACCCAGCCCTGCCTCTAGCAGAGACATCCTGAATGCCTGGGGAGGTGGAGGAGGGGTCCCTATAAAACGATCAACAAACAGTTAAATACTGATAAATACGAACGAAAAAGATTAGAGAGAAATACTCCAGACAATTAGCTGATTAGCAAGAATAACAATAACTACATGAGCGCGCGCGCACACACGTATATGTTCTTACTCAATCCTCACAAGAGTTCAATGGGGTGGGTAATATAATTAGTATAATTTCAGATTAGCAAACCAAGGCCTGCAGAGGTTACACGAAGCCAAGATTCAAACCCAGGTGTGCAAGACTCAAGCAATCTCTTAACATTCTACTAGACTGTGGCTAGGTCTCTGTGTGAGGGTTTTTTGTATGTTTAAGTATTTTTCTATATTTTCCCATTTTTTGTCATGAACCATCTATCATCACTTTTCTGCTTAAGGGAAAAAGTACACACGAACGTCATTTTCAAGGGCAAATACATGTGGGATTGGGGCTGAGATGGTCTCAGTCTTGCCCGAGGGCCTGGGCTTTCTCCTTACAATAAATGGTGGCAGAACGCCCCAGGCAGCCCCTCTCAGCCTCTTCTTAAGACCCCAAGGCACTGCTGAGATGGCTGTTTCTGAAATATCAGTAGATTCAGTCCTTTAATTGCACCCAGTTTCTTAGCTATGACCAATTAGTAGCTCCTTGGACTGGGTTTGGGAGTCTGTGAACCAATTATAGGAATTCTGAACTAGGATTTGTCCCTCAGCTTCCTAAAGTGAAAAAAAAGCACCTTCAACTGGTGCTGAACTGAAATGTGCTTGGCTTGGTCCTTGGCGTCCC